AAACAATCATAGTAAATATAAAATGTACCACAAATATTTCACAAAGTACAATAGAATTGTAAAATAATAGGTATACAGGTGAATTTCAATTGTTTTTAATTAAATTGTCGAGCACACACTACTAGATTTGTCAAGACCAAAACTCAAAATTTAATCATGATAACAGTTGCACGTATTCAATATAACTAACCACGTGCCATATATCATTTTATCGCTAAAGCTCTTGTAAAAAAAGGGTTCAGTAATAATATAATTGGTACCTAGTAAAAAAGTAAAGAAAGAGAGCGAGAAAAGCCATTGTAAGTGAAATAATGACATTGAATAACTTTCAATAACAGTACTTATAGATTACCATATGGTGTAAAGTGTCGCTAGATTTTATAATACCTTGTTATCGCATTGGGTCCTAAACCTGTAATATTTACTTGTGTGTGTAATAAATAAACAAGTACAAAAAGGTCTTTTACTAAATCCTAGAAACGTACACAAACTAATATAAGATCTAAATACTGTTTCATTTATCTTCAAGCCAGCTGGTGTGTCTGTGCCGGATCGTTTAGGTTAGCTAGACAGATGCGGTGGACCATATCCTTTACTTTGATTAATGTTTCTTTCATATGTGGTAGGAGCTACGTAATTTGATGTAACTTAGTATTGTGTGTAGGGTTAGGAGAGGATTAGAAAAGTAGTATTTGATATATATCTTTTATCTTATACTGTTATATAAAGCGGAAGAGTTTGTTTTTTTTTTTGTTTGTTTGTTTGAACGCGCTAATCCCCGTAACTACAAGTCTGATTTGAATAATTCTTTTTGTGTTGGATAGCGCATTTATCGAGGATGGCTATAGGCTATAAAACATCACGCTACGACCAATAGGAGGTGAGCAGAGCGTGTGAAACCGCGAGGAAGTAGGTAGTATTGTATATGTCAATGTGAATCTAGTATTTTGAGGGATGATAAAAATCGTTCACAAAGCTGGGTGGCATGTAAAACAAGTGTTTTTTTCGTTTCAAATAAGTAGTAAAAAAAAATATATATTTGGAAAAATAAATACTTCTAGATTTTGAATCAGGACATTTACATCCATTTCTTATTGGAGTAATGCTTAATATAGTAATAAACTTAATTGTTTTGTCCCATTTAGTTAATGTTTACTGCAGTTTATTAGTTTGGACCTAACGTATTGGAACTTAAGATAAAAATACCAAATAAAATATTTCTTTTTCTTTTCAGCGGCAATTACAATGATAGCACCTCTATTTGTAAGATGGTCATTAGAAAAATATGGCTTCCGTGATACTATCCTACTGATGTCTGCGTTAACTATGCACAATTTCATAGCAGTTGCTCTGATGCAACCAGTAAAATGGCATATGAAGAGGATTGAAGTTTCTGATAAAACTAATGGTAAGTTTCAAAACTTTTATACAATGCAGTAGTGCCATCTGTTATTGGGAACTTGAATTAAACACTACTAGAAATTATAGTGATGTGTTACTCAAAATATGAACAGCAGGTAAACGATCAGAAATAAAGATAACTTTATTAAAAAACAACATACATAACAAATCCTTTAACCAAAACACCCCTTTATAAGAGCATAATAACCATTTATCATTTAAAAATGTACTAGTTATAAATCCATGCCATAAAGATTAAAACTTTTAAAAGCAAGAACTGCTTGTTACAGAAAAGTTATTGCAAGACAAAAAACAAAAAGAAGACTTCTGCACCGTGCCAATTATCAAAGTGACCAACACAGATGGCAATCTGTCCAACCGTAATAATGAAAAATTTTATAAAACTGGAGAAGAAAATGGCGGCATCAAGTAAGATTTAGATTTTTATATAAAACTACAAACAGTTTAATTAATAAATGGGAAAACTTATATTCAGCGCTGAATGTCTTGTAGCTGGTATGATGATGATAATGATAAAATAATAAAAACTATCACAATATTGCACTTTTTTTGTTTTATAAGTGCATAAACAGAAAAAACACGAACGTATGAATGTGACAAATTAAAATTTTGGAATTACAGACTCAAATTCTTTGGCCAAATTATAAATCTGAAACGAGAATTTTTAATTACCACACTAAGGGCCGATTTTTCAATCATCAGTTAATTCTTAACTGACAAATAACTTTAAATATTTGACAATTCTTCCATACTAAAACTGTCAAGTGTCAATTTTAATCTACAGTTAAGAGTTAACTGACGATTGTCAAAACGGCCCTTAACAGTACGTCTTGTATTAACAGACAGCTATTTAATTTAATTTTGTTTAACAGTTTCAGAAAAATCAAGGACCTGTTAATAGACAAATCACTGTGTGAGAAGTTCCTTAAGTCGTGCGTATGTGCTGGGCCAGCGCTGGCCTTATTTGCTGATACAACATACGCATTCATTTTACCACATGCCCTACTAATCGCTGGGTGGTTGCATGTAAGTTATGTACTAATTAATACATTATGTTCTTTTTTTATATAAAACGTCGCCGCACATTAGGATTTTCTCCTGTGTCGTAGGTGCGTTTACAAACATACAAGTTTACATACACATGACACCCAGACCCGAAACAACAATTTGTGGATAACACATAGAGTTGCTCCGTGCGGTAATCGTTTTTACCAGCGTAAACCCAGCCACCGCACCAACCGTGCAGTCAAATGTCATATGTTATGTGCATGATTAGTACGTTAATATATCGTACCGAAAATCCCCAAGTTCATATAAACGTAGTATCTAAACATCAGAAATAAGGTCTATACTATAGTTAGTGGAGAGCGGCTATCGGTGACTGCTTAGGAATTGAATAGTTAGACCTAATTTTAGGACTTGTCAGAGTCGGATAAAGACTTGGAAAAGTGTAGGAGAGCCATGCTTCAGCCCAAATGGGCCGGCATGACCGGAGTGATACCACGACCTCACAGAAAACCGACGTGAAGCAAACGCTTGCGTTGTGTTTCGTAGTATGAGTGAGGTTACCGGACGCCCAATTACCCCCCCCCCACCACCCCCTACCTTAAATTCCCCAATCTATGAATCCCCAACGATCCTCAAACTTCTAATCCCCAATTGGCCGGTAAAGCACTTGTAACACCTCTGGTGTTCCAGGTGTCCGTGGGCGACGGCGATTGCTTAACACCAGGTGATCCGTCTGCTCGATTACCGGCTTATGCCATAAAAAAAACTTATCCTACTAATATTATAACTACGAAAGTTTGTTATGTTGTGTTAGTTACTTCTTTATGCAAAAACTGCTGAAGGGATCGAGATGATATTTGGAACAGGGGTAGATTATGGTCTGAAAGAAGACATACATAGGTTACATTTATCCCACGGGAATTCTGCTACGGGCGACGTCGCTTGCAGAAGCTAGCTAGTTAGATAAATAAATATAAAATAGAGTATGAGGCAGACAAACCGTGAGTAAGATATAGAATAGGATACGTATATCAGTTTTATTATTCATATTTGTTTTTGAGTAACCGGATAGGATTGTCCCAATTTGAATATTCTATTTTTTCAAATGTTATTCTAGTATTTATTCTACTTCATATTCCTTATCAGAATCAGTTAGTTTATCTAGATTTAACGCAGACATATTTTGTTTACATTTGGTTATCTAAATTAAATATTTATTCATTTCATGTCGAGCTTTTGGAAATATTTTTCGAGAATCTACCTACTGACATTAAGATTAAAATATGCATTGCAATTCTTTGACATTTTAACAGTGCTAAAATTTTATAGCCGTTAAAGTTGTAAACTATAATTTTTTTTAGTAATAATTTTGTAATTTTGTTAAACTCGAGTGGCCGAGTGGTTGCAAATGCGACTGCCGGGCTTGGGAGCTCGGGTTCGATACCCCGGTCAGGCATAGTATTACCTACTGGGTTTTTTCAAAAATTTCTTAGTAGTAGCACAGAGTCTGGAATAGTCCCCGGTATATGGTAATAAGCTCACCCCTACTACATGGGACTCATAACGTAAAATATAAAAAATTGGGTGTTACATTGTAGAGGTACAGTGGCATGAAGTGCCGTAATATGCACCATTTCATGATTTTGAAATCAATAAAATAATTATATTATAATTAATTAATATCACAACTATAATGTAACTGTTTTACAGGAAGACGTTACACTGACTCAACATCTATACGGATTCGGAGACTTGGCGACACGAGTCCTGTTCACTCTGTTAAGTAATTGGGTGCAGAAGTTGGGCAGCCAGGAACTATACGTCCTCGGAGTTACTCTAGGTTTAGTCTCTCGACTTGGTAAGTCAAAGGCTTGTTTGTATACAAATTGTATGAAAGTTAAGCAAGACAGAGTGATATAACTAGTCTGAGATACATTTTGTAAGACGTTTGTGTAAGAAAATTCGCAGACAGATTTTTGATTTTCTTACTAAAGATGGAATGATTGATTAATTTATTAATTTTTGAAATAATAAAAGTAGCCAAACCATGCCTACCTCATAGGAGACAGGCGTGAGGTTATGTATGTACGTAAAAGCAGCCAAACAGCAGCCTATTTCGGTGTTTATTTAAAAAAATCTATCTTGCCTTTTGATCTGACATCTGATCGAATATTGATAAATCCGTGTAACTACAAGACATGATTAAACTGTCAAACACCAAGCGGTCACCGGTGACCGCAACCTATTGTTCTATTATTGTGTCTATAATGACGGTACTCGACGAGTTAATGAAGTACACGACATATGATTGCATGCCTGAATACTATAAATATCATACGGAGTGTGTAGTGTGTAAGTGAGCAAAGTCACGGTGGTCAGCAAGTTAACCTTTACTATCAAATTTCTCTATTACATCTTCATACATATTGTACTCTCATAAAGTCGAAAATTCAATGAATTAATTTGACATAATATTGCAGTAGGTTGATCTACTATAACTACATCAGAACAGAGGGCTTGGTATGAGTATGTTTTACGTTTAAAGTAACCGAAACGACACCGCGTCTGGCGCTCTGATTGGTGGGTTCATTGGGGCCGGCCAATGAGAGCGCCGAACGCGGTCTCGCGGACCTCAAATAACCAAATTTATAAGTCAGATTTAAGTCCAATTCTATTGAATCTCACGTTTACTAGTTCTAATTTTCTTTTGAAATGATAAACTCATGACTGTCTAACGTGTTTATGCATATGCATACAACACAACATGACTAACACATTGCACGTCGCATGTTCCAGATTATTTACTATTTATTCATTTATAGATTGCAGTACAGATAACCCTATCTACATCACGTTTTAATTTATTTAATTAGTTTATCAAATTGAATCAATGTTGATTTCAAAACAGGTTCTGTATTCTTACAGGATTTGGTTTGTAAGGAAACAAAACTAATTTGTAAGGAATACATATTCCGTTGTACTTGTAATCAATAGATATAGTAATATTATAATCTTATAATTTGTATAAAATTATAGGACTTGTTACTTGCAAGTCAACTGTATCTATCAACTGTTAAACAATTAATAAAAATGAAAGTATTTTTTGAACATCTCAAATTTATTTATTTACTCAAATAGAACCTAAAATTAACTACAACTGAAATTATAAATAAAAAACCAAAAAATTTACCCTCAATTTGGCGTCAAACAACTCGTCCGCATCACTGTCATTGGGCAACGTTGCCAGAAGACTTGCATTGCCACATTGATTGGAGTAGGTATAGGTACCTAACTTATTATTTTTTACTTCCAAAAGGTACACTATGGTCCAAGAGCTTCATAGCGAAGATGGTCTACATTCCCCTGGTGGGTGCCTCCCACTGTGCTGTGACCATCCTCATACCATTGCTGGTGGCAGATGCTGTGAGGCCTGACAGGTTCACATCAGCTCTGGGTATGCTGATGATGGTGACAGGCCTGGTCAGCGTGGTATTGGGACCTGCTATCAGTAAGTAACTTATCATCAATCGTACAATCATCATTTTGATATTATCATTGTGACTGCCTCGCTGGCCGAGTGGTCGCAAGTGTGACTACCGGGCAGGGAGTCTCGGGTTCGATTCCCGGGTCGGGCAAAGTATTGCTGACTTAGGTGGTAGGATAATTTTTTTTCTTATTAAATGGTCCTATGAAATTAAACAGGAATCATATTATACGCGGATGAAGTCGCGGGCCACAGCTATTGACTCTATACAGAGAAAAATATATACTTCACATTATAATGTATTTCGTAAATTCTACTGCCTCGTTGACCGAGTTCGCTTTCCGGGTCGGGCAAAGTAATACTGAGTTTTTTTAAATGTATATGACAATAGGCTCCCCCATCACATAGGATTCATAACATAAACAGTGAAAAGTGGGTGTTACATTGTATAGTGGCATTATGTGCCGTAATGTGCACCTGTGCTTACCCCTTACGGATGAAACATGTTTGTAATATTAATTCAATCCCAAAATTGTAAACATACCGACAAAAAAAACCGATTTCGAACAACATTACATTTCATATTTGCGAATCGAAAGGTGTAAGATTTTTGATCATTTTTGAGCATGCTCGTTTTTTTTAAGAGGGGTGAATCATCGCATGGCGATTCCCGCCTGGGTGAGGCGGGAGAGAGTGTCAGACTCTTACTAACTAAAAACCACCCCATTCCTATTCATGCACTTCGAGCCGCAGCTCCGGTAACCCGTTAGGTTCTCCGCGGCGAGCATGCTCAATAGAACGCCTTTTTGCAGGCTATTTTAGAGCATAATGTAACAGTACTTTACATAGAATACCAGAACCGTTCTTACTATAATCATTCTTATCTTCCTAGGTGCAGTCCGAGAGCTATCAGATAGTTACGGTCCAGTTTTCTACCTCATTGCGTCCTGTTTAGCCATTATAGTCCTGTTCTGGTCAATAGAACTCTGCTACAAGAGGAACAAACACAAGAGATTACAACGACGAGAATATCTACGACAAAAGAAATTAAATAAATAAACAAAATTTGAATATAATTTATTGGTTTTTATTTACGTTATTTTAAAACTAGTGGCATTTTCTAGATTTGTTTATGTGATATTTATCTAAAGCATCCGTTAATAATTTATTAAAATACCTAATGAGATGAGATCGTATATAAATTGATAAAATCGTATCTAAAATTATAGGTCCCTGATATAACTTTGTCAGTAACTTCTTCTTATTTGAAAACCGAGGTAATTATGAGAGATGAAATAAAATGCAGTTAAGTCAACAATTTGAAAAAAAAAAATTTCATAAAAAAATATTTTTATTATAACATGGAACATTATGTATTAACTAAAAATAACGAGTTACTCACGTGAATATACTGAGACAAGCTCTACTAGTTTCGAGTCACAAAGGGACTCTTCCCCATGAGCAGCGTACGCAGTAGCGGCGATTTCGCGCAGCCCATAATGACTCGAAACTAGTAGAGCTTTTCTCAGTATATTCACATGAGTACCCCATAACCGTTACTAAAATTACGTTAATAAAAAAAATATTTATTATTATTAAAAAAATATAAAAAAAAAACAACGACATCCCCGCAATCGCGCACGCAGCTCATGAGGAAGAACTCCTCTGTGGTTCGAAACTAGTAGAGCTTTTCTCAGTATATTCACGGGAGTGACCCGCGATTTTTATTTAAAAAAACAATGTAAAAAATAACAATATATGTTAATAAAAAA